GATTCAAACGGTGAACAGACTGACTAACTGCAATAAATTCCACAAGTTATTCAGTTCTTGAGTAAACAAAGTGAAAACATTGAGCTTCGAAATAAAGGTTTTGAGTAAATAATAATTTTCTAGCTGTAGAACGGCTACGAATGCAGGGTCGAACCCTTTAACTTGCTTAACTCGACTACTTTCATAGACGATGCTTCAATACCAACAGGAACAGAAGTGAACACTCAATCCAGTCCACAAAACACTAATATAGAAGTTACCAAAGCTCTTAATGATTCAATTATTGCATTGAAAACTACTCTTGAATCAAACTATAAAATAAAACTTATTACCAAGTTCAAAGAAAGTATAATCTCAACCCTGATGCTAATATCAACATTTGGATGAATAAACTTAGATTGGAATTAACAAATGTGCTGATTTGTTAGATGTAATTGATTTGTTGTGAATATATTCCACCATATTTTTATGGGCGTATTCATGTTGGACGCTTATGCCGCTAGAGTCACTTATAAGCACAAATTTTTATGTTCGAGATGGCCTATAGGCGCTTAGAATCAATAAATAAATTTCGTTCGTTTTGATATTGTGAGCGGCCAATAATCATCAACATGGCAACTGTTTCTAATAAATAATAAATAATTTATTAGGAAATTATCGATGATGAGTCTGATGATAGTGATGAGTTTGATATGATTGAAGATATGATAATGACATGGAATGGGAGTATTGTAATACTCCATTTGAAACTGGCACTTAGAAATAAATGAAATTTTTGGTTAGCTTATGCCTGCTGTATCTGCTTTTGACAGATAATAAAATTCGCACTACGCTTGCCAGTTCTTACCTCTGTGGCGTGAGCATAAATGAGCGCGAAGTCTGTGCTACGAACTCAGCCATGATCGTACTTTGGCGTGACACCACAGCGCCAAGTCGAACGATGAAAATGATATGTGTAAGCACGCTCACAGCGCGTAAGCGTCCAACGCGAATGCACCCCTAAATGTATATGTTTTGAGCAGTGCATTGAACTACATGTGTGTTTTGAACTAAGTGTAGCAGTGAAGCTATCTAGCTTAGAGGGTTGTGATGAGGCTGTTAAGTTTGTTACTTAGTATAAGTTTTTATGTATTGCGTCGCCACTGTATTTTCTCAGCGGCGCCGCTGATACGCTGAGAGGGAGTACGAGGGTGCAAATAAAGGGCCAGCCGGAGAGCATCCGGTCTTGTTTCCATCGAATCGTCATCGAGTTATCTAGAGTATTTTGACCCTCAGTGCTTATTAAAACTCCCCAAGCCAACATGCCTGGAAGGATCGAGTAGTTTCGAGGTTATGTTGACGTCCTAAGCCCGTGTAAAAGAGGAAGGTTCTAGGGCTGTAAGAAGGACAACGACGACGACAGCCACGCGCAAAGAAAATGGAAACGAAAACACATTTCAGAATTGCCACATGGAATATTTTATCACTGAGAAACAGAGAACAAGAACTTTGCCATGAGTTACTAACGAAGAAAAATCGACGTGCGCTAGGATTCAGGAAACACACAAGAAAGGTAAAGGACAGACCATTATAGATAAATACATGCTTTTACAGCGGAGTAGCAAAAGAAACAAGAGCCAAAGAAGGCGCAGGAATTCTCATCCATACTAAATATGCCAATGAACGTGGAATGCAAATATATCAACTCCCGCATTATAGTGGTCCGAATAAAGTTCAAGAACGAAACATTCAGCGTCATTGGAATCTATGCTCCAGAAAATGCAGACAAGAATTTATTAGATCAGCCTTTTTTAACCAATTACAACAAGCAATGGACGAAATCCCAAAAACAGACTCAGTCATCATTCTGGTGACTTCAATTCACGGATTGAAATGACCCAATACCAGGTGCGTTAAACAAAAAGTTCAATGAGCCGAACAAATGAAAATGGAGAGAACTACTTATAAACCTATGCACAACAAACGAGCTAAAAATTACTAACACCTATTTCATGCATAACAATAATTACAAATACACACTTTTAAGTAGCAAATAGTCGAGGTCACCAGTCAATGATTGACTTTATAATAAATCCAATCGCAAGATACACCCACGAACAATACTGGATACAAAGTGCTTAACCTCTGCAAACCTAGGAAGTGACCCTCACAACCTAATATACACAAACAAATACCCCAAAAAGCAGGAACACCTAAGATCAATATAGAAAACATTCATGTAGAATCAACAAGAAACTATATCAGGACAGACTTGAAACTCAGATCAACAACAAGCAACTAACAGATTCTGAAGATGTTGAGGAGAAATGGCCAACACTCAAAACCTGCATTATAAATGCCGCAAAAGGAAGCGTTTGGAGAAAGAACAACCAAAAACGCAATACCAAGAGGAAGACCCTGTGGTTCTGTGAAGAGATTAAGAACAAAATGCAGAGAGAAGAGACAGGCATACCTCAGATACAGGTCAGATAGAACAGAAAGATCTTATAGAGCATACAAAAGAATAAGAAATGAGACCCATGAACTGGTCAGGTCAAAAGCAAGAATTCTGGAACAAGTCTCCAAACAACTCGAATATGACATCTACGGTCTCCAAAAAAAGAGATATGGAGATTTATACGCGGTCAGCGAAAAGAAATAAATGAAATAATTGAAATCCGCATATCCAAGAGAATCAATGGATAAAATATCTCAAAGAAATGTTTAAGACCAAACAGACGTGTTGCCCCACACAAATCCAATCACAACACAATAACTGAGGAAACCATCGTGATAACAGAACAAGAAGTTGAAGAAACAATTAAAACGCTGAAGAATCGAAAATCAAGGGCATGATGTGCAATACCAAATGAACTTGAAATACGAGGCAAACCACTCATACACCAACCTCACGAACTAATCAACGCAGTAATTAACACCCAATACATACCACAGGACTGGAAAACAAGTGTTCTTTATCCTTCTATAAGAAGGGAGAAAATCGATCCAAGAAACTACAGAGGTATTAATCTATTGTGCAATCAAAAATTTAAGTTAACAACCAAAATAATAGCAAGAAGACTGGAAGGCGACCTTTTTATTTGGAAGACGAACAGCAGGGGTTTCCACAAAGGAAGATCTTGTAATGACGCTACATTTATCAGCAAGGCAAGTGAAAGAAAAATCATTAGGAATTCAACAGACCAGCTGTTAGCGAACCTGCGTAGCTTGTCTTCCTCCTGGTTCTGAAGACGGTTGCCCGATTTTGCTTGCGATGCCTCGCCAAATCTCACCGAGTTTACGGTCTAACATCGCGCCTTCTAAGAAATTACAGTGATGTGGTGGATGAGAAAACTCTTGCTGATTTAACCGTTTATTTCGTGTTACTTCCACAAGAGCTCAAGAGCGAATGAATCCCACAAATCAAGCAAAATGCAGATCCCAGACATTCCCCGCCAACGCTGCAGGAACGATGCAGCTGCTGTCCGAGCGAACTGGAGAACAAAGCACACACCAGCTGCCCTGGCAGGTGCTCCGCCAAATGCAAACGACAACAATTCGTCATGTCATCAATTCATTTGTCGGATCTGGTCTGAACACCAGCTTTCTATGCTTTGTGGTGACCTAGTAAAAGCGTTTGATAAAGTCACACAACCGACATTGTGCATTTGCTATATATGAAACATCTCGCCGAGAATAATCAAACCATCGAGAATATATATGCAAAATAACAGCATGAAAGCCAAAAACGCTTGACAACAATGGTACTCATACCCCACAGGAACGGCAAGGTACTGACAAGGACTCTCAGCCCGCTATTATTTAATATAATTATGGATGAAATCGTGAAAAAGGTCAAAACAAAACGTGGGTACCCCGCCATGACAATACCATAGTTCGCTACGCAGATGACGCAATTTACTCGGCAAGGAGCGAGGATGATCTACGGCAGCGAATACTTCACGAATTCAACACTGCGAAAATGTTTAATATGCAGATATCATCGGAAAACCAAGTGCATGACAATCGTAGCATAAAACCCAATAAGGTGCAACTAGAAATCGATGAAAATTATCATCGAACAGGCCAATAAATTCAATTATCTTGGCACCCTACTAACCAGCAACGGGACAACCGAAGCTATTGTATTGAAGAATTAAAGCCACAGGTGGATAAAGCATGCAGGAAATAGCAGGCTGCCTCAACGACACGATCTGAGGAATAACAATCTGCAAATAGCCACAAAGAGCAGAATATACAAGGCAGTCATCCGCCCAATCCTTACCTATACCTGTGAAAACACGCCCGGAAACCACGCAAACAGCAAGAATGTGTAATACGGCAGAGATGAAAATCCTACGACGCATCAAGAACAAGACTCTTAGAGATAGAATCAGGAACACCCATACATAAGAAAAGCATGCCATATCGAGAACATCAATGAATGGACCAGTCACCGAAAACGAATGGAACGAACACATAACGAGAATGGCAGAAAACAAGAACCGTGAAGATAGCACGGACTCAATCCCCATAGGCAAAAGATTCCAGGAAGGCCTCGCAAACGTTGGAAAGACGGACTATTGTAGAGTGGATGAACAGGCACAGTTATGCCTAATCCCAGAAGAAGAAGAAGAAGAACTAGTGTCATAACCTGTACCGTGCAGTTCGCTAGCCAGCTACATATCCTTGACTCTCCTCACCAAGAGTTTGTAACCCGTACTCTGCCACATATCCTCCTCAAGCCTTTGGTGCAGCCTTGTGGCCACCGTCCACAGACTACATCACCAGCAACCAGTACCACGAGCTACCACGCTCCACTCGCACCACCGCGTGCACAAGTATACTATGATGTTTGTCGTTTTGGAATATTATACCGTGTTCATAAAAAAATATATTAGTCTTATTTAAAGAAGTTTTATTAGAAAATATATTATTTATGGTACATTTGATTATTCCTCACTATATCAATTACTCGAAATTGATATAATTTTTTGACATAATAATACACTAACAGAAATTTAATAATGATGAGGATGGTCAGCATGCCCTGAATATTTGACCTCAGCGTTGAATCCGTTGTGTTTATCGGCAGTGTAATGAACTACACGGGTTCTGCCATCGGGTTGCTCCAGTTTGTACCATCCCTTAACCACATCTCCGTTGCGTTCCTCTTCGGCAGATTTTATGTCATGAGTGTGGTGGTCCTCAACGCCGTATTTATATTCGTATTTTGGGTGGTGCTAAAAATATTAAAAAATTTAACATGTAATAACATCGTATATGTATTTGCCAGTTTTACATGTGGTTCATGATGCTCATGATGATCGTCGTGGTGATAGGAATGTTCAACATGATTGTTGAATGATGCGTAAGATGAAGCATGATACCAGCTACAGGCGCAATGCGACTGTGCCAACAAGAACAAAAAGTTTGGACATTGTTAGTTTGTTTTGTTTCACAAAATTGTTTTGGTTGTTGATTGATTGAAGAACCCAGTTCAACTGATGAATTACCAAGTATGATATTTGGTATTTATAGTCCTTGGTGCTGCAATGTTTAATTATTTTGAAAGACATGCTATATGTAAGGCTTGATTGATGGTATAATTAATTATTAGTAGCATTAATTATTCATAATATTTGATGAGTTTCATAATATTAGTAGAATAAAAAGTGCTGTATTTGGTGTTCATTTAGGTTTAAAGAAACTGATAATGTAGGCTAATATCCAGTGAAATAAATTATCCAACTAATTTAGGCAACTGTAACAATGCAAGAAATATAAAATGTATTTGTTTACGAACAAATATACACATTTCTATATTTTGTTGAGTAGGTATTATATAATTGTGGTAATAATAATATATACAGCATGTCACAGATCTACAAACAAGTTGGGGGGTGGAGAGTAGCGCTTGTTGCGGTTGTTTTCGAGACCGCACGATTGTTGGCAGCAAAAACACACACGTCCAACCCCGTGTTTCACGAAACATCTGTGTATATTGTGTGACACGATACATGTGTATATTAATGTAGAAATAGTAGCAAATGTTATAATGTTAGTTAATTAACCACAAGCAAAGCAACGGAGCAATATTCATGAGTGTCACAAATAATTTGATTCAATAATTAATTGATTCGATCTAACATTTATATTTGTTGCAGAAATGCAGAAATCTGAAACACAAGTTTACACAGAAACAAAATATCAATACCCCAAAATATTTTTATACACCAAAGTAGGAATGCATTACTGTCAAGAAACACAAGTTTGCACAGAAACAAAATATCAATACCATAAATATATTTATACACCAAAGTACGAATGCATTGCTGGCAAGAAATACAAGTTTGCACAGAAACAGAATATCAATACCTTATGTACTACATTAGCTGTTGCGTATTTAGACTTGCTTATCGTTTTGATATTAATATAGTTATGCAGCAACGGCCATACCACGTCGAATGCACCGGTTCTCGTCCGAGACTCGCTCCGACCGTCGTAGCGAGCAGTCGTATCGCAGTGCGCGCCCTTAAGTACCAAACGCTTTCAAACACGGTCCGCCCCCGCTCGGGTGCCGGCAGCATGCCGAACATGAGTGAAATTAATATTCCTCCCGTGTCCGGTGAAACCAGTGGAACGTAATTCCACAAAGAACAAAACGGACTTCGATCCAGCTTCTGATCCTGACGGCAGATTTCAAACTCAACGCGGGCGAAAATTCGTATCACCGAGCCACCAACAATTAAAAACAATAGTAAGTACGAACAACAAATTCGAGGTACTGAATACCACGCCGCTGGCACAAGCTCAGCCCAAGAAACAACAAACGAGCATGAAATGGACACCGAGCTGGCCTCCTGACAATGTAAAAACTCCACCAAAGAAATTAAAAATTCCGCCGATAATATTTGATGGAAAAATCCAAACATGAGGAAATGTGTCCTTATATAAAATCACCTTTTAAATCATGACAATTTCATAATTAAATATCGTCCGACAAAGTCATGGTACTTCTGTCAACACCCTCGTTGACCACGCTCGTATCATGAGCAATACCAAAAGATAATAAAACGCCCCACACGTTTACACCCAAGTCCCAAAGAAAGAATGCATTTGTTCCTCACAGGACTCGTGCTAAACCTTCTGGAAAACAAGTCCTCATGAGAATTAATTAAGAAAAGGCCTGAAGTCGATAAGGCTTCCGCATGAAAACACAAAAGACATCCTCTTCATGGTGACGTGCCCACCAAGCTACACCATCATCAAGATCCTTACGCAGAAAGTAAGCATATCAATAACAACTCCTGCAACCGACAAAACTACAAGTCAAAAAGAAGTAACTCCAGTGCCACACGTGCTGTGAATGGGGCATGGCAGCTCCAACTGCAGAAACCACCGCGCTGCATGAAATGCGCAGGACCACATCTCTCGCGACTGCTCATTTCCAAAAAGATTTAAAACTATACCACCCATCCGGAAGAACCGGAAGAAGGCGACATGGATAACGACCGACCGAAACCTCAAGTGCGTCCTAATCTCAGGATTACAACATCTCGCAAACTACGCACACTGTCCGGTTTACGACAAGATCCTGAGAAGCGTCAACAACAACGGAAAGCGGATAGATCACCACCACCTGCTGCCCAAATGTCCGAGACAGCAAACTATTTCCGATAATCTCCCCGCTAGGAACTCACCCATCCTACGCGCAAACAACAACAACCACTCCAGCCATGCAACAAAACGAACTAACACCAATGGGCACCAACGTCATCAGGTAGGGGAGAGTAGGGTAATGGGAGTCACCCATATATCCACGAAACAATAGTTACGAGTACCGCGTAAACGGTATGTTCCTACCTCCGTTCTGGCCCCCAGTGCCACCCCCAAAAATCATGCAAATCGGTGCGTGTATCATTGAGATACGCCAATATTTTATTTTTTGAGTTCGCTGATCTAATTCCCCATGTCCACGCAAATTAGAAGATAAGTGTCGAATATCTTGCAAATATTCGAATGAAACTTTATATATCTTAGTTAACATTCAAAATCGTGATGTGCAGTTCAGATTACATTAATGTTTTGAAGAAATATTTTTTTTGTTTTTTTCTGCCAATAGTGCAATTCTTTTCAGGGCAATGGGAGTCATGCGACTCCCTAAATTTGGACGTAAGTTTCTTTTGTCTTTAGTCCAATTTAAAAATGGCCTATAAAAAGCAAATGTGACTTATTTTTCAATAGCCTTCATGCAGAAACGATACGGCAGGAAAGTAACAAAACTTATGATTCCTATATTGGCACTGATGACTTATGCCAGGGCGTGATGGATGAAGATTTGAAAACTGATGTCTAATGTGCAACGATTAAAAAACAATTAAATGTGGTTCATAGCACTCTTCATTTGGGCTATGGGCTCCATGTGAAATGCACTGGTGGACTTTGCGGAATATTATATGTTTGCGATATCTGCTAGATTTCGTTTGATTCCGATTGTCCCCTAGGGTGACCACCATTACCCGTATGTCGGTGTAATGGGAGTCAACTGTTTTTAACTTTAATAATATCCAAAATTGATTGTCAAAGTGACTGAAAAATTATTTCAAATAATAGGTATTTAAGTAAACATAGCTTATAAGCGATTGCAATAAGTAGGTATTTTGCTTATAATTTAAATTATATTTGAGTTCTCCCCTTAAGTGACCTCTATTACCCTTTAATTTCCCTTTTACTTTTACTTTTATTGGTAATGTGTTGTATGAATTAAAATACTACAAGAATCAAGCTAGATTTGGAAGATTTCCTGTCTTTCCTCAAAACAATTAACTCCACAATCAAAAGTTAAAAGCTAAACCTGATAACTTAACTTTTTACTAGAAATATTTACAAGCGCCAACAATAACATAAAGCACAATGAAATCACTAACGCTAACGGTTTTAAAAATAAAAGTACAAGAGATCTCCGTGAGTCCCCTGGCTTCAATTTAGTCAAAAAATGATAATACCAGCAGATCGGGGAGTGGCAATTGTCATCAACAAGTCGGGGCATAAAGTATAGCCAAACAGACTCTATTACAAGTACTATAGAAAACATCGGTATCAAATTGATAACGGTCTGACTATTCTTCAATTTACAACCATCCTAACAATAGAATAAATCCCATCGACATACACAATCCTCACAAACTCAGGGCTACAAAGTTATCTTAGCCGGTGACTTTACGCCAAACATACCGAATGGAAATGCCGATCTTGTGACGCTAACGGCACCACTTCTTAGAAACATATAGTAATTAAATGTAAATCTAATCCTATTACATCCCGATGATTTTACACACTTCCCGCCGAACGGAAATCCACCCTCCACGTTAGACTTAGTTGTTGCGAAAAATATCACAAACATACCTTCCATAACTTCCTTAAACGACTTAACCTCCGATCACAAACAAAAAACCATAATGGATTACAAAAACGCAAACTGGAAACTTTTTCGAAATTCACTCAACCCCAAGTCAATATCAACAGCAATCTTAACTCACCTAACGAAATCGACGAAGCCGTTAATCTCCTCCTAACACTTCAGGATTAAAAACGCGACAGCTATAGCAATCCCCAAACTGACAATCAAGCCGTTCACAACATCTTTCAGCTCCATAACTAAATTCCATCGCTAAAGCGCCGTAATCGGTACAGACGAACATGGCAACGCGCAATACAAAACGCACTCCTTAACTAAATGGCCCTAAACGATACTAACAGAATCGCTAAATTCAACATCCAACAAGACATTAACGCAGCATGGGACAAAAAGCTAGACAAACTAACACCGAAAGACAGCTCAATATGGAAAGTTACAAGGGCACTTAAGTCCGAAGGCTCATACATACCTCCGCTTAAATCACCATCTGGCGCCACTTCCTACTCAGCCGAGGATAAAGCCGAACTTTGCCAATCCACTTCAAAATGCGTCCACAAAATAGACACATCAATAATTCTACATTTCAAAACGACATAAACTCCAAGTAGTCAAAACATACACTAACAACAAAGCAAAGCAAAGATTTCTTTTTAGTGTCAAATGTGCTTTCTACGAAAATTTGCAAATAGGGCTCTAAACGGTTAATTTTAGAAAAAAAATTACTAAAATAATCGATGTAGTAGAATTAAAAGAACTGTTTAGTATTTATTATCCTAACAGTACAATTTGCAATTTTAAAGAAAATAGGTGTTTACACGTCAATAGAGCTTTAATCTATAATTTCGTTACTGGTGTCCGATTCATAATTTAATCGAAATTAAAAGTTCCATGCATTGTACGAGTACAATTCTTTCATGTTCTGCAAGTAACACTGTACACTGAATGTTTTAGTGTTTACAAACAACAAGCTTTTCATTCGCAATTTTGTGCGGTCGACACGCGCTTGGCTTGCCTTACCACGTCAGTCTCATATTTGTCGTCGGGTGATCTGCACGCACATTTTCTTCAGAATAATTTGAGTTCTTAATTTCTTCGCGTCATTACGTAATATTTCTAAATGCTCCTTCCCTCTTTGTGCGCGAGCTATGCGCGGCGTTC